GAACCCAAGACACCATGGCGGGCAAATGATGGTTTGCAAACTCGGCGAACAGTTGGGGCCGTGGGCAACCCAAGAGGGCCTCCTGGTCCTTCCTGGCTCCCTGGCAAACCCCATTTTGGGGGGTTTTTACATTCCTTAATCCACCACGGTGCATTTAAGATGACTCAAAATACGAATACACATCGGAGGGAGAACTTCTACAAAATTTCAAAAACGGTCTACCATCAGCTTCTGACCTGTTGGGTCCATAATCCCAGGGGAACTAATTTTATTCCCGGAGGCCTCCTTCCGGATGCTTTGAGCACCTGCGGCTGGACCTTGTCCACCACCGCGTGGCATGGGTTATCCACACGTCCTTGCTACTGGATGCTGTTTTCTGGATGGGTTGAAGCCTTTCCCTGCTGCACGGCCCATGCCCTCACAGTGACAAAGAAACTGTTGGAATACGTGTTTCCCCCTTAGGGTGTACCTCCCACCATCTCCAGGGATGCAGCACCCGCTGCACGGGGAGATCACGTGAGCCTTGACCACTTGGGATTCCCCTGCTCGTAGTCATCACAGCAACAACCCTGGCGTGCTCACCAAGCCAACGACCTCCCCAAGACTGGAACCCCAGGAAAGAAACGAAGACAGAGATGGCGACCAACGTGAAGGCTGTGAACTGGAAGTCCTGGCCTGTGGCTATCACAGAGATTTAGTAGACACCCCACAACCTGTGAGTGTCACACAGGGTGGATAGAGGTGGCGGGAACCTCACAGCGATGGTGGGGGTGGCTCGAATGCCTTGGCTTCTGACCACTTCTCTCATTAAGCTGCGAGGCTCACCCAAGGGGGGCCACTGTTAAAAGAGAGACACAAGAGGCCCCACACGGAGCCACCTGTGCTAAGTCCATATCACCAAAACAAGGCACAGCACTCACCTGGCTGCAGCGTCCGCTTCCCCCAGGCCTGTGACCTGCGGTCCCTCTGGGATTTCCTGGTTAGCAGGGGCGAGGTAGACGCCTGGTAGACCCCTGCCGGCCCCCAAGGAAAGGTGACGTACCCTGCTCCTTCCTGGTCCCTGCCTCTGCCACCTATAAATCCTCCCATGTGAGCAGACCTTTGCAGTCCCCTTCTAGGCACCAGATGCGATGCAGCCCGATTCACGAAATCACTGAATAAAGCCAATTGAGCTTTACGTTTACCCAATTTTTTTTTTTAAACAATGGTAGATCTTGCAATCAGGTGCTGTAATTCTTGCAACTTTCTCCTTTTTTTCAAGATTGTTTTGGCTATTCTAGGTCCTGTGAAATTTCCATGTAAAATTTTAATTTTTATTTAAAATTTTCATTAAATGAAAATTTTGTAGTTTGATAGGCATTACGCTGAATCTATCAATCGATTTTGGGAGAAGTGGCATCTTACCGTTGCTGAGTCTTCTTATCCATGAACATCCCACATCTCTACTTGTGTAGGCTTTCTTTAATTGCTTTCTACACTGTTTTGTGAGCATCTTGCAGATATTTTGTTAAATGTGTCTTTGCATCTTTTATGTTTTTAATGTCGCTATGTCACTGTTTTTTTAAACTTTATTTTCCAATTGTTTGTTGCTAGTCTAAACATTCAGTAGTCTTCTACATATTGATCTCATATTTTGAGATCTTGCTAATTTCTACTTGCAATGAACAGCTGTAGTGTTTGTTAAGCTTCTGTAAGGTTTTCTGTATATGCAACCACATTGTCTGCAAAGAAAGTTAGTTTTACTTTTTCTGCGGCAAGCTGTATGCCTTTCCCTGCCTTTTCTGACCTTCTTACACTGGTTAGGAACTGCGGTGCAATGTGGACAAGGAGTGCGGGGAGTGGTTCTGATTTTCAGTAGGAATGTGCTCAGTTGGTCATCTTTAGTTATATAAGCTCTCCAGAGATGTCAGTTTCCTCCTACTCCTACTTTGAGGGCCATTATCATTATGATATTGTGATTTATAACAAGAGATATATATTTGCTCTTCATCCCATTTCTGGCAGAGCCCCTAAAACCTTTGGAATTTCCTAAGTGATAAGAAAGATAAAGGTGTCTTCTGTTTTCATTCAAGCCTCTTGTAACCACACCTGAGTTTATGCAGATGTGGTCACTTTTGGAGAGCCCATACGTAGGTAACCACAAGATGGGGGCTGGTGGCCGGGGAGCCGACCATGATTAGACGGTTGGAACTTTTGGTCCCACCCCCAACCTCCAGGGAGGAGAGCGGGGCTGCATATTGATCTCATTACCAATGCCCAACAATTTCCTCAGTCATGCCTAGTAACGAAGACTCCATAAACACGCAACAGGACTGGGGTCCAGGAGCTTCCATGTTGGTGCCGATGTGGGGAGAATGGCTCACCTGGAGAGACACGGAGGCTCCGTGCCCTTCCCCACACCGGACCCTGTGCGTCGCTGGCTGGTCCGGCGTTAGATCCTCTTACATTAAACCAGTGATCCAGTGAGTGAAATGTTCTCTAAGTTCTGTGAGCTGCTCTGGCAGATGAATCAAACCCATGGCAGGGGGCGTGGGAACCTCCTGTCTGGAGCTGGTTGGTCAGAAGCAGAAGTCACAAGATCGGCTTGCGGTTGGCATCTGAAGTGGGGGCGTCTCGTGGGACGGAGCCCTCCACCTGTGGGTCTGATGCCGTCTCCAGGTCATGTCAGAGTTGAGATGACACCCTGTCAGGGTCCACTGAGAACTGGAGAATCGCTTGGTGGGAAAACACACATCGAATCACAAGTAGATGTTGCCTGTTGTCAAATGCTTTCCCCTCATTGAGATGGTGATAATTTCCGTACTTTATTCTCTGAACGTATTGAATGGCACTTACTGTTCACAAGTTAAACTGACCTCATGTCCCTGGGGTAAACCCCCCTTCATCATGGTGTATTATCTTTTTTTGTATTTGGCTGGATTCCTTTTGTGGATATTTTATTAAGGAATTTTGACTTAAGGTCATGAAGGGTGTTGGTCTGTAGTTTTCCATAACGTCTTCGTCTGGCTTTGATATCAGGGTTGTGCTGGCCTCATAACGTGATTTGGGACGTGTTCCTTCTCCTATTTTTCTGAGAGAATTCGTAGAGAATTGATAGTATTTATTCCTTAACTATGTGATGGAATTAACCTGTGAAGTATCTGGGCCTGGAGTTTTCTTTGTGAGAAGGTTTATAATTATGATTCAAATTTCTCTGATACAAGACTGCTCAGATTTTCTGTTTCTTCTTGTGATAGTTTGGTAGTTTGTGTTTTTCAGGGACTTTGTCTATTCAATCTAAACTGCTTAATTTATTGGAATCATATTTTATTATTACCGTCCCATGCTTAACGGATGTGTTGTGATATTCCTTCTGTTCTGAGAGGGGCATTTTGTGTTTTTAATTTTTTTGGTCAGGCTGTCAAAGAGCTTATCATTTTATCAAACTTTTTGAATAACTTACTGTTGGGTTTATTCACTGTTTTTTTGTCGCTTTAAAAAATTTCTTTGATTTGTACGCTAGGTTTTATTATTTCCTTCCTTCTTACTTACTTTGGGTTTAATTTGTACCTTTTTGGATAGCTTTTTAGATAACAGATTTTATACCTTTCCTTTCTTTTCTTTTTTATTATTATTATTTTTATTTTTTTTTTAAAGATTTTATTTATTTATTTGAGAGAGAGAGAACGAGAGACAGAAAGCACAAGAGGGAAGAGGGCAGAGGGAGAAGCAGACTCCCTGCTGAGCAGGGAGCCCGATGCGGGGCTCGATCCCGGGACTCCAGGATCACGACCCGAGCCGAAGGCAGTTGCTTAACCAACTGAGCCACCCAGGCGCCCCTATACCTTTCTTTTCTAATATAGGCATTAAAAACATAAATTTCCTCCTAAGGTTGTTTTCTGTTGAACCCCACAAATTCTCATAAGCTGTGTTTTCATGATGGTTCAGTTCAAAGTATTTTCTACTTTCTCTTGCGACTTCTTCTTTGACCCATGGGTTATTTAGAAGTGTAGTGTCTAATTTCCAAATATTTGGAGTTTTTCCAGATACATTTTTGCTATTGATCTCTGATTTACATTCTGGTCAGACAATGTACTCTGTTTGATTTCAATCTTTTAAAATTTGCTGAAACTTGATTACGGCCCAGCAAACGACCTGTCTTGGTGAATGTTCTATTTACATTTGAAAGAAATGTCAATTAGATCAATTTGGTTAATTATGTTGTTCAAGACTTCTCTATCCTTAGTGATTTTTTGTCTTATTTTTCTATTAATTACCCGTATTTCTGCCGCCCTGGTATTATTTCTACCAGATGCCACTTGTTACAGTGGTCCTGCTGCCACTATTATTAGTAACTGAAAATATTAACCAGCATTTAACAAGGGCCTCTCGTGTACCAAGCACAGTGACAAGCACTTTGTGTGGATTACGTCCTGTAGCCCTCACAACAAACATTTGAGCAAGGTATTTTTATCCCCAGTGGACAGACCAGGAAACTAAGGAACAGAGAGGCAAAGTAGGCCACCCAGGTCATACAGCTGTGGTTGGTTGAATCTGGACTCGAACCTAGGTCTGCCAGGGGGCCCATGTCTCTTCTCCTAGCCACAGGAGCCCCTCACATGGGTGTGTGGTCAGAGGGGGGTCTGCATGACACCACTCCTTGACTGTGGCGGCACCGTCCACTCCGGCCTGCTTCCTCCCTCCCTGGTCTCAGATGTGGTCTCTGCATGCTCTCTGGCCCCTCGGTTGTGAATCCAGCACCCAGCATGGGAAGGAAGGGCCTTGTCTGGCTGGACACCTGCTCTGCACCAGGCATCTAGAGACCAAGACTCAACTCCCAACTCCCCCAGGGACCAGCCCCATGAGTCCTTTCCCCTCCAAGCCTGTTTGCTCATCTGCACCCGTGGGGCTTCTCTCTCCTTCCCCTCCCCCCCCCCACCTCCCAGGGCGAGCAGGTGCCCGGCTCCCCCGTTGCCCCCATCATCCCCGCAGGAGGCCGCAGTGGCTGGGCTCATCCCTACCTGGGCCAGCTGCTCTTCCCAGCATGCCTTCTCTCCCTGGTTGAAGATTGCCTCTGTGGGACAGAAGGGTGTCGCTGGAGGCCAGGTCTGACGTCCACACCAGGGCTGGATCTCAGGCTCCTTCTCCGCCAGCCCTTGGGCACTGAGCTGAGTCTGGGTGAGTCCTGCCTCTGTTTTTCCTGGCTTCGTGAGGGCAGTGAGCTGGGCTTGGGCTCGGGGTCTGGATAGCTGAGCTGCCAGCTGTGGCCTGGCCGCCCCTCCTGTGTGACCTCAGGTGGGCCATGTTGCCTCTCGGGGCCTCAGGCTCTCTGACAGTGAATGGAGGGGGCCATTTGGAATGTGCTAGAATCCCCTTGAGGGTGGGGAAATGAGGCTTGGAGAGGGGTGTGTTGTGAGAACGGAAAGCTTTTATGGAACTTTAGAAACTCAACCTCAGAGGGAGGGCTGCTTTGGGGATGGCCCTGGGGGTCTCAGAGCTGACCTGGGCACAGAGGGACCTCTACCCAGCTTGCCAGCCCCGGGCAGGATGTACGAAGCCGAGTTAAGCTGGGGCCTGCCTCCTCCCAGCCTCAGAGCCCAAACTCCCAAGCTCAGCTTCTGAGGCTTCTCCCGCTGGACCGGGCCCCCCTGTAGATGGCTGGCCGCTACATCCATTTCCTCCCACCGCCCCAACCTCCCGCTGAGGCCCTGAGGGTACACACACCATTCCCTCCTCAAACTCCTACACATTCCTCAAGGCATGGCTCAGGCTTGGCTGCCTCCTTCAGGAAGCCCTCCCTGATGGCCACCGGAGCGGCCCAGTACCTGCTGGGGGCAGCAGTGTGCTCAGCTCACACTTGTGAATGAACGGTGCCTGAATGAAAGCTGGCGTCTGCTTCCCTCGTGAGGCCGTGAGCTCCTGAGGGCAGCGAGCCCGGCACAGGGCAGGTGCTCAGCCAGAGTTGGTTGTTTTGCATTAGCTAAACACTCTCCCTGGCAAGACGCCTCCCTCAGGGTCCTCGGAGACCCCACTGTCCAGGGTGGCCTTCCCGTGGCTCAGGGGCGGTGCTGCTGTGGAAACACTGGGACGTAGATGCCACAGGCCTGTGACGTGCTCCCAGGTGGCTCTGGGCCCCTCACACTGCTTCTCAGAGCTTGGCTTCCTTGTCTGCTAGTGAGGAGGAGCGCCCACCTGCCTCAGTGACCAAGGGACAGGCCTGTGCGGCAGTGCGCGGGCCTCACACCCATCCTGGGCCACCTCCAGAGCCTCCTTGCTCTGTCCTGCTTCTGTCCGGGCCGCTGTGGAAATGCTCCCCGCGGGAGCATGGGCCAGTGGGGACCAGCAGCACAGCGGGCGGGCCAGAGGTCTCCTTTCGTGGGGGTCCTGATGTGGCCCGGGTGGAGGGCTATGGGGAGGCTCGGACCACAGCCCGTTGCCCCTGGCACGGACATGCTTCACTGCTGTGTCCCTGATGCCTGGCTCTGCATTCGTCCCCCAGGTCAACAGTCTCGCCGAGCCCCCTTCTGCCTCTTTCCCTATGATGTGCCCCGCCGCTGCCCTGGGGAGCCGGCAGGCAGAGGGTGACCACGGCGAGGCTGGGGGTGCCTCAGGCCCCTAGGGCAGAACATACCGTTAGAGGTCAGGATGCCCATCACGTAGAGGAGGCTGCGGTGCGGGAAGACGCCCGTCAGGACCTCGGTCTCCAGGTGCTGGGCCACCGCCCGCCACGAGTGCCTGCAGATGGCCAGCAGCACATTGCTGGCTGCGTCCTGGTACGCCTCTTCCATCTCCTGGAGGGCGGGAGGCGCGAAGGAAGAGTGGGCACCTGGACAAAGCTTTGGCATTTCACACACAGGGTCGGGCTTGGTGGGCAGGGCAGCTGTTGTCAACCCAGTTTTTGGTTAGGAAACTGAGGCCAAGATAGCCCAATACACACCGGGCAAGTGAAGTGCGGGCTCCACCCCAGGCCTTAGAGCTTCCTGTGACTCTCAACATCCCTGGTCCTCCTACCGTTCCGGAAACCCACTGTGCTTCCTGCGCTGCTCCGGCCCACCTGTCTATCCGCTGCTCGTCCCGTTTTAAAGCCCGCCCCCCGCGGGCCACACTCAGGAGATGTGGCCTGAAGGCTCCTGTCAACGTCGCCTCTTTGCCTGAGCTCCTGGCGGCTCGGAACAATGTCACGGCCTCTTTCGCACCGTGAATTCCGAGCCCCAGTCTATGCTTCTGTGTCCCGAGGAGGTGGGGTTTCGGCTGCTGGGGGCAGAGGCCCGCCCACCACGGTCTGGTGAAGCGGTGGCCGCGGGCACAGCGGAGCCCGGCCCCGTGTGGCCACACCTGCTCTAGTTTCGGGTTCCTCTTTTCTCCGCTTCTTGGTAGGAGCCACAGGTGATTTCTGTGGCTGCTGGTGTGAGGGAGATGTCACAGGGTCATCGCCGGGCGGAGGCCAGGGGTCCGGCCCGTGTTTGGGGGCATCTGAAAGCGAGGGGGTCTACAGTCCCTCCCTGAACGCCCTGTGATGTTGTTGGAATCCTCATATGAAGTCATTCTGTCGTTTATAATTTACTCCAAGTTTCCATACGAGGGCTTCTCATTAAGGTGGTGGGTTGAAGCCAATTTTGCTCTTTCAAAACAACACCTCACTCAACGACATTTAGGAGATGATTTGAAAAGGACAATAGTATCCACATTCTGGCAGCTGGAGAGCCGATGAGTGAGAGGTAACGGGGCTGAGCATGAGCCCATGCGGCAGGGTCTCTGCCACTGCTGGGGGGACTCGCGGAGGGCGCGTCTCCCAGACCTCTGCAGCGAGCGGGACCGGGGAGGGTGCGACGGTTTAAGAGGGAGTCAGGTGCCCGAGGCTCTGCCCACTCCACACACCTGCAGGGTCCAGCAAAGTCCAGAGGCTCGGTCTCCGGAGGGGGCAGGCATGGGTCTGTGGTGGGAGGCCAGGTCCTCCACAGCACTGTCGGGGGCCTTTCTCTCTGGCCAGACACTGTGTTAGGGTCTTTTCTGGGAAATCTGGGCAGCCCAGGACAAAAGTCATGGAGGTCAGCAAAGGTGCTGGGCAGCGGTGGGCTCACTACAGTGGACCCCGAATCCCACCACCTGCCCGTGTGTTCAGAGCTCCCTATCAGCACTAACCATGGGCAGGCAGCCACGCTGGAGAAGCCTCGGGTGTGGGAGACGAAAACCACCACCACACACCCGACAAAACCCAGAAAACAGCTCCTTGGAGGAAATACAGGCCAAACAGAGAAATGAAAACTTCAAGCGAAGCTGTGTCTTTAACATCCTGAGAGATAAGAGGAGGTATTGCATCCACAAAAGCTATAAACAGCATGATGCGAAAAGGAACATTCTGGGGACAATATCAAGATTGCAAGAGAGTCGAAGGCACAAGGAGCAGAGCCGGAAACGCAATAGGAAGTCGGGGAGACAAAGAGTCTTCAGAGAGCAGAACAGAGGGCGGGGAGCTGCTCGAGGAGAGACCAGATGAGAATATTGGGGACCACCGAGCAGCCCGCAATGGCGTGTCAGACGTCCCTGAAGCCTTGGGCAGAGAAACCCAGGAGGTGAGACCATCAGTGGATTAAGTGAGGAATGTTCCAGAAGCAAAGGGCCCAAGCGGCCAGACTGCAGGAGGCAGGGCGGGAAGGCATGGTGGCTGGGACAGACCTAGAGCGAGGCGCCCTTGGGGAGCTGCAGAGCATGCAGACTCAGGGAAGATGCTGCATGCCTGTCAGCAGGAAGGTGCGGGCGGACAAAGGTCTAATGTCCAGAATGGCTTTGGAGTCTCTATGGCGGCACCAGGGGCAGCAGGGAGACCACGGATGCTATTGCCAACATGACAATGATCTTGTCGAACGGGAAAGGACTGAGCTGCAAAGCAAACCAAAAGTTTATTTGGGATCTTTGATCCCAATCGGGGAGACACAGATTCAGCAGGTAACGGAAATGTGCTTGGCATTGGGGAGGAGAAAGAGGTCTACACAGGATAGGTCACTATGCTGGTTGCTAGGTCGGTGTTCAGGGAAATAAGCCTCATTCTGGGAAATGCAACATGACGTGGCCGTTTGCGGCCAGCTCGGCCTGAAGTTCACACTCATCCAGGCGTGGATGTGTATGAGACCCACCTCCCTGGTGGCCCTCGGCACCACTCTGACCGTCCTGACTTCATTTCAGATGTTTCTGTCCACGGTCTCCAACACAGAGTCCAGGGTGAACCAGAACAGACAGATTTCCAGAAATGCCTGGTCTCAAGCTATACTTCCCAAACACACGTTTTCAAGAAGCTGCCAGAGGGTGTGTGTCTCCAAAGCAAGAGAGCGAGCCAGAAAAGAGGAAGGCCTGGGGTCTCCGAGACGCTGTCCCCGGCTGGGATGGGCTATGGGGTCCCAGATTGGGCTTTGGACACCAAGATGACAGCAGACGCGCTCGGCTGGCTGGGACCTGGGTGATGACGTGCCTGTTCTCCCCTGTGAGTCCTGGACCAGCTCGTGGTACCTACAGAAGTGCTCGCACTGGCCCACGCTGGAGAGCTGGTGGTGGGCGGTGGCATGTGCGGAAGCAGGAGGTGCCCTGCCTCGGAGGGGCTCTTGTCCACCTGCAGGGAGGCTGAACCAGGCCACCACCCGGACGCTGGTGGGCTCTGCTTGTCTCGCAGCCCTCAACAGCCTGGGTCACCACTGCCCCTCTCTCTTACCACTGGTCTGTCGACTATTTGTAGGTGCCTTGCATTTTAAAAATATGCCTGGCATGCTTTACACGATGACTTAAATTTAAAAAAAGGTACAGAATTTTAGAACACAAATACACTGGCTATGAACTTTGTTCCTGTTTTTCTCTGATATCCACACTGGAAGGGTCTATAGACTTCTTTGTGGGGAGCACGGAGACTGGTCACGTTGGCCATTTACCAGCTGGTTAACTGCTGCAGGCAAATCTCTTAGATGGCCGGAGCCTCGGCCCCTCTGTCTGTAAATGGGGGTCCTATATATGGATTCCCACTTCATGGAGTGCCAAGGCTCAGTCCTGTGATGACAAGTCACGTCCACCATGGGGCAACCCTGGGCTAGTCTGCCTAAATAAGAGCTACCAGCCCTCCAGGCCCTGGAGCCGAAGTCCCCAAGGCCGTTGGCAGGCCTGGGGAAGGTCCGGGGACCACATCCTGAGGTGGGTGGGTAGGAGTGGTGTGGTCTCCAGCAGGCGGGACCCAGGAGGCGGCCGCAGAGGCGGAGTTAAGCCTGGAGAATGGGTGGGACTCGTAGGAGGGCTTCAGAGGCTGGGTGTGGGCAGCCGCCGTGGGAATGGTAAAACAGGTGGTGGTGGTGGGGGCCAGGGCAGAGACTACCAGGAAAGGGCGCTAAACTACTGCTGACATTCGGCGCTTCCACTTATGGGCCCTGTAGACTCAGATAAGCAATGAGCTCTCTGAATCTCACCTTTCTCAACTGTAAAATGGGCACGTGAGGTTGTCCCTCTGAAGGGGCTGGTGGTAAGAAAATGAAAAGGACAGAGATCACTTGGTTAACCACAGGGCTGGGCACCCCCACCATTATTTGGATGCTGGGGGCAGCAGCCTGTGTTCCCAGAAGTGGCCTTTTTGCTGGGATGGGAGGCACACCGTGGACTTGGTCATGTTCTCCAGGGCCAGCTGCATGAACGACTTCTCCCAGGCCTCCTCCAGGGAGTCGCTGGCTTCAATGACGGCCTCCAGGATGTGGAACAGCCGGAACCTGTGGCGGGAGGAGATCTGTGGGTGGCAGAGTGGGCAGAGGTTCAGAGGCACGTTGGGTTTGGTCACATGGGGAATGGCCACCAGTGAAAGCCTAGGCGTGGGGAGGCTGAGGAGGCCAGAGGGAGAAGGAGAGGACAAATGGAGGCACTTGGCCATTTGTCCAATAACCATTTAGTGAACATGCACTATGTGCAGTCCTTGAACTAGGTTCTACAGAGACAGATGAATCAAAGTTTGTCTCTATCCTCCGAAACTGCTATGGGATTTTATTTATTTATTTATTATTATTATTAAAAAATTTTTTTTAAAAGATTTTATTTATTTGACAGAGAGAGACAGCTAGAGCAGGAACACAAGCAGGGGGAGTGGGAGAGGGTGAAGCAGGCTTCTCGCGGAGCAGGGAGCCAGATGCGGGGCTCGATCCCAGGACCCTGGGATCATGACCTGAGCCAAAGGCAGATGCTTAATGACTGAGCCACCCAGGCGCCCCTGTTATGGGATTTTAAAAGCATTCTGCCTCTACAGTCAGTTCATTCATTTATTTTTTAAAAAAGATTTTATAGAGTGAGTGAAAGTGAGAGAGATCACAGAGGGGGAGAGAGAGAAGCAGGTTCCCTGGTTGAGAGGAAAACCTGATGCAGGGCTTGATCCCAGGACCCTGGGATCACAACCTGAGTCAAAGGCAGGCGCCTAACCAACTGAGCCACCCAGGCGCCCCCATTCATTCATTTATTTATTCATTCATTTATTCACCCACTCATTAAAACTTAATCAGATCTTCCTGCTAATTATCCATCTGTCCATCTACCAACCTATCCAAACATCCATCCATCCATCCATCTATCCATCCATCCACACATCTATCCACCCATCCATCCATCTATTCAACTATCCATCCATCCATCCATCCATCCACCCATCCAACTATCCATCCACCCATATATCCACCCATCCAACTATCCATCCATCATCCATCCATCCATCCATCCATCCATCCATCCATCCACCCAACTATCCACCCATCCAACCATCTATCCATCCGTCTGTCCGTCCATCCATCCATCCATCCACCCACCCATCCACCTCTGCCACTTAATCGTTCTGTGACTTTAGGCAGATCACTTCCCTTTCCTAAGCCTGTTTTCTTATCTATGGGGATCATAATATCTATATCATGGGACTATTCTGAGGGTGGTCACACATGTTGGTCCAACTTCCTCCCTCCCCACTCAGCCTATTGGACATACGAGGAGATCAACTTGCCCCAAATCATTTAGTTGTACCAAAGAGCCAGGATTTGAACTGGACTTGTGGTCTGGCCCTCCCCTTTGCTCCCCATGCAGTCCCTCCAATGGCCCAAGCAACTCCCACCTCAGGGTTGTCTACAAAGTAGTCATGGATGGTTTCCAGCACCAGGTTGGGGGCCCCATAAGCCATGTTCTTGATCTTCTTGATGATGTACTTCAGGTGGAGGGGGTCTGAACTATTCAGGTCTCGGAGCATCTTGAAGCAAATAGCTAAAGAAGATGGAAAAAGTGTGAGGGTTGATGTGATATGGGAAGGTTACATTGTGCCATCAGGAATAAGTGGATAGAGAAGGGGGTAGGGCCAGGAAAGGGAAACAATGATCTGAAAATGAGGACTGAAGAACTGAACTCATTGGGAATTCCTGGGCCTCCTGACTGTCCAAACAGTCCTCCTGGAGTTTGAGATAGGATAAGAAGCAGGAATGCAGGGTGACTGGGTGGCTCAGTTGGTTAAGCTGCTGCCTTCGGCTTAGGTCATGATCCCAAGGTCCTGGGATCGAGCCCCGCATCTGGCTCCCTGCTCAGGGAGAAGCCTGCTTCTCCCTCTCCCACTACCCCTACTTGTGTTCCCTCTCTCGCTGTGTCTCTCTCTGTCAAATAAATAAAATCTTTTTTTAAAAAAAAAAAAAGAAGCAGGAATGCATGAAGATTTCACACCCTTATATACCCATGCATATTTCCATCCATTCATTGATTCAACCACTTTTTCATGCATCCATTTATCCAATCATCTATCATCTACCTATCCATCGATCCATCTGTCCATCCACCCACACATTCATTCATATGTCTATTTGTCCATCAATTCATCTACCCATCCACCTGTCTGTCCATCCTTACATTCACCCATCAATCCATGCATTAATAAATGTATCCATCCATCCATCTGTCACCCATCTGCTCATAAATTTATCTACTTGTCCATCCACCCATCCATTCATAAGTTTATTCATCCATCCATCACACATCCACTCAAATTAGCCATCCATCCCTCTGTCCCTCTATTTATTCTTCCCTTCACCCCTTCACCTTCTATCTAGTCATTCAACATTCAATGATGTTCCCTCTGTGTCGTCATAGGTCTGTGAGTGAGGGCTCAAAGAAGAGTCAGGGCCCAGCTCAGTTCTGAAGGAGCCTCCAACCCATGGGAGCCCTACCCACTATCAGTGGACTTTTGTCCTGTAGTTGTATAAAAGGCCCTGGGCACACAGCGAGGAGAGGGGCAAAACATTCCAACAAAGAGGGAGGGACATTTAGGACTGGCTACTCAGAGGAGGTGGCAATTTAACTTTGCCTAGAAGGATGAAGGCAAGTCATCCTTTGAATGAGGAGATAAGCATTCCTGTGAGAGGACCAGGCCAAGGTTGAGGTCCTAAGGTGGGAAAAGGTGTGGGAAGAAAGTGGAAGGTGAAGTGTGAGGGAGGGAGGGAATTTTTGGGCTTTGGATGGTGCCTCAGGAGGCATGAAGAGACCAAGGAGGGTGTGTAGGGCTCTGCTGAAAGCCTCACTATGTCCACAAGGTCCTTGACATCCCCAAGATCCCACCAGTGTGGATTCCTTCTGGTCCTCATCCCCAGGACTTTTTTGAGTGGAGGCACCTGATAGGGTCTGCTGGAACCTGACCACGCCATCTCCACCCTGCCAGAGTCCCAGGGCTGGTGATCACCTGCATTATAGGCTTCCTCCATGAACATCTTGTGCTCCTTGGGCACAAGAGCAGCCTGGCTGCTCTGTGACTTGCAGAGCAGGATGGTGGTGGGGTGTGCCTGTCTGTCCCTGTGAGCAGGGTCCTGAGGTACCTTCATGCAAGATAGGTCCTTTGTGGATCTGGAGACATGGGAGGAGAATCTGAAATGGAAAAGAGGTCCAGGGTGTGTGTGTATCTGGGCACCTTTTTGTGCATCCATGAATGCAAGCCCAGTAGACACTGAGAGCCATGTTGGTCAGGATCAGGCTTAGCAATGTCCTTCTGTGTGTCCACCTTTCTGTTCATTGGTCTGGCTGAATTCCAAGGGGGGAGTAGGGAAGGAGTCTGGAGGCCTCAAGGATGTTGTTAAGTAGGCAGTATTGCCTGTGGGCCTGGAGAGGCCTGACTCCTAGCAAGTGCTGGTGTCACAGACATGACTGACAGGACCTGGAGGGCTCAGGGTATGGCGTCCCCAGCTCCAGCTCTTGCACTGATTTGGAACAGCCAGTCTTTTCAGGACAAACATGAGAGTGCCCTGGCTACCCAGATGTCACTGAGGGGGTCTTTGAGAGAGGTCCAAGAGCTGCAGAGCAAGTGGGAGCAGGAGCCATGAAGATGGGTGCACTGGACCACATCCTCATCTGTGCCCCAGGCCCAACCATCCTGGTGCTTGAGAACAATTATGTGTGCATGATGGAGACACTGAGAAGAGCTGTGTGGCAGGGGCAAGGAAGGACATCAGCCCTCACTTTTTCTTTTGCAAATGTGCGGACAGGATTCCCTCAGACTGTGCTCTTTGCCAGAGGGGCCAAAAAAGGAGGAATCCTTCATTTTTGGGGTAGTGCCCAAGCTGTTTGTTTCACAACTTCCTCTTGGACCCTCCTGGCAGAAGTGGGTTCTGCTCTACTTGCTCTGGGACCTCATTTCTTGTTCACTCACAGTTCCCAGTTCCCAAGTACTGACCACGGGCATGGTGTATTCTTTCTAGCCACTAAGGATATAACTAAAGATATATGGATATCTAATGTCTGATATTAGTGGGTTTGTATATTTATTCCCCCAATTTTTGAGTTGTTTAAGGAAGGAGGGGGAATCTGGTCTTTGTTGCTCCATCTTTGAGGGAAGCACTGGTATTGTCTTCATCTTCTTCAGGACTTTGCGGTGTTTTCTGAGTTCAGTGGGGAACCACAGAGGTTTTTGAGTGACATGATCTGACATACATTTCTTATGTGGTAGAATAAATTAATGGGTAAATGTTAAAAGAGATGAACCACCTTCTAATATACCACATAGTGTACCTATAGAATTTGTTGATGGTTTTTTGTCTTGTTCACTTTGAATAAAAAATTACCAGGCACACATGGCAGCAAGAAAATATGACCCCTAAGTAGGAGAAAAAAATTAATTGATCAAAAGCAACACAGAAATGACACAAATGGTAGAATTAGTAGACAAGGACTTTAAATGTTATTGTAACAATATTCCACATGTTCAGCATGGTAGATTAAAACATAAGCATGCTAAGGAGAGACATGGAAAACATAAGCAAGATGAAGAATACAATGTTTGAGATTAAGAATACACTGGATAAATTTAAGAGCAGATTAGACACAGTAGAAGCAAAGGTTAGTGAACTTGAAGATACTACAGCAGAAACTACCCCAAAATGGAACACAAATAGGAAAAAGACCAGAAAAAACGGAATAGAGCAATCAGTGAATTGTAGAACAACCTCAAAACAGTGTGTGTGTAATGTAAATCCTCACAGGAGAAGAAAGGGAGACAGAAAACAATATTTGAGGAAATAATATCTGAAGTTTCCAAATTAATAAAAACTAAAAATCCCACAGATCCAAGAAAATCAATGAACCTCAAGTGAAAGAAACATGAAGAAAATTAAACCAAATGACATTGAAATAAAATTGCCTAAAGCCAATGCTAAGAGAAAATTTTAAGAAAGAAAGCCAGAGAAAAGTCAGAGAAAGAAAGACACGTTATATGCAAAAGTATAAAGATAAGAGCAAGAATATAGTTCTAGTCAGAAATAATGCAAGCAGGGTGCCTGGGTGGCTCAGTCATTAAGTGTCTGCCTTGGGCTCAGGTCATGATCTCAGGATCCTGGGATCGAACCCTACCTCAGTCTCCTTGCTCTGTGGGGATCCTGCTTCTCCCTCTCCCTCTGCCCCTGCTGTGTTCCTTCTCTGTCTCTCTCTCTCTGTCAAATAAAAAATAAAAAAAAATCTTTTCAAAAAAAGAAATAATGCAAGCATTGGAGACATAGAGCAACATTTTAAAACACTAAGAGAAAAAAAAAAAAAAAACACCTGGCGAGCTAGAATCCTATACTCAGAGAAAAAAAAATTAAAAACTGATGGTATAACCAAACCTTTATCATATGCACTAAAGCTGAAAGAATTCATAACCAGCAGACCTGCACCATAAGAAGTGTTTGAGGAAGTCTGTCAGGTGGAAGGAGAATAATACCAGATGGAAATATGGAAACACATAAAAGAACAGAGAACAGTGGAAATGGTAAATATGTAGGTGAATGTAAAATATTTTTTCTTATTTTTCAAGTTTAAAGTAAAAACACCAATGCTTTGTAGGGCTTATAGCAAATGTAGAAGTAAAATATATGTCAGCAATACCATAAAAGCCAGGAAAGGGAAATGGAAATAATATATTGTAAGATTCTTATACTATAAGTAAAGTGGCATAATATCACTTGAAGGTAGGCTGGGATATGGTAAATTTGTAAACTACAAGCCCTAAGCAATCACTAAAAAATCAGGGAGTCAACTAAAAATATATATAGCTAATAAGCCAACAAAAGACATAGAGGCAAAGAGGAAAAATAGAACAAAGAAGAGAAGAAAAAAAGTGAAAACAAATTGCAAGATGGTAGATTAAAACAAAATCATTTCAACAGTCACATTAAATATAAATGATTTAACTATCTCAATCGAATAGCAGAGACTGTCAAATTGAATAAAAAATCAAGACCCAAATATATGCTGCCTATAAGAAATACACTTGAAATCTAATAGACACAAATCAATGAAAAATAAAAGATGAAAAAAGATATACCATGCTAACAATATTCTAAAGAAAACAGAAGTGGCTATGTTAATATTAGGAAAAGTTTATTTTTGAGTGAATAATATAACTAGAGATAAAGAGAATCAGTTCATAATGATAAAGGGATCATTTGTCAAGATGACTTACAATTCTAAATGTTCATGCAGAATAACAGAACTTCATAATATATAAAGTAAAAAAGATAGAACCAAAAGGAGAAATAGTTGAAGAATAATTGAATCATAGTTGAAGATTTCAGCATCCTTCTGTTAATAATTGATAGAACAAGAAGACAGATATAATCATTAAGGATATAAAAGACTTGATAATACTCTTGGCTAATGTAATCTAATTAGCATTTACAAAACTCTCCATCTAACAACAGAAGAACACACATTTTCTTCAAGTTCATGTGGAACATCTACCAAGATAGATCATATTGAGCCATAAAATAGTCTCAATAAGTTTAAAAGGATTCAGATCAAACAAAGCATACTCTTTGACCACAATAGAATGAAATTAGAAATCAATGACAGAAAGATAGATGGGAAATCCCCAAGTATTTTGAAAACTAAATAACAATTTTAAATAATGCATGGGTCAAGAAGAAATTAAAAAGAGAAAGTAAAAAGTATTTTGAACTGAAAGAAAATGAAAACACAACATATAAAAATGCATGAGATGCAGCTAAAGCAGTGCTTTGAGGGAAATTTATAGCATTAAAACTTATAGTATTAGAAAAGAATAGAGGTCTGAAATCAATGACCTAAGTTTCCATCTTAAAAACTAGGGGAAAAGGGGCAAATTAAGCCCAAAGAAGGAAAATAATAAAAAGTAGAGCAGAAATCAATGAAGTGGAAACAGAAAAACAATAGAGAAAATCAATGAAACCAAAAGCCAGCTTTTTGAAAAGATACATACATTTGAAAACTTCTATCAGGCTTTATTAGGGCAAAAAGAAAGAAGACACAAATTATTAATATAAAGAGGGAGAATAGGTACATCATTAAAAATCCTACCGACATTAAAATGATAGTGAGAGAGTATTATGAACAACTTGATGCGAATAAATTTGACAACCCAGATAAAATGAATTCCTTAGTCATAAAATAGCAAAGCTCAATCAAGAATAACTGCATAACCAGAATAGCCAGTTGTCTATTATAAACATTGAATTTGTAGTTGAAGACCTTCCCACAAAGAAAACTTTAGGCCCAGGTGGCTTTACTCTTAAACTCTATCATTTAAGGAACAAATGATACCAATACTATAAAACTCTGCCAGAAAATTAAAGAGGGAACACTTCCTAACTAATTCAGTGAGGTGAACATTAGTGCCCTGATACCAAAACCAAAGAAAGGCACTGCAAACTTTCTTAACATACGAATCCAAAATATACAGACATGTGTATCTACCATGACCAAGTGGGTCTTATCCTGGGCATGCAAGGTGGGTTGAGCAATCTAAAATCAGTCAATGTAAATTACCATATTGGTAGATGAATGAAGAAAATAATATAATCATCTCAGTAGATACAGAGAAAGCATTTGACAAAATTCAACATATATTCACAATAAAAACAAGAATTAAAGGAATTTCCTTAACCTGATTAAAAACATCTACAAAAATCCTATAGCTAATATTATACTTATTAATGGTGAAAGACTGAATGTTTTCCTCACATCATTGGGAATGAGGGAAGGGGATGTCTGTTTTCACCACTTCTATTCAACATGGTACTGAAGGCTCAGTCAATACAAACAGGTAAGAAAAGAAATTAAAAGTGTGCAGACTGGAAAGGAAGAAAAAAGCTATCTCTACTTACAGAGGATGTTATCATCTAATTAGAAAATTCCAAAGAATCTACAAAAATCCTACTAGAACTGAACAGGGTGTCTGGCAAATTTGCAAAAATAAAGTCAGGATGCAAAAATCAGTCATATTTCTCTATACTAGCAAAAAGCAATTGGGACTTGAAAATAAAAAGGTACCATATGCAGTAGCATTAAAGATCATGAGATATTTAGGTACACTAAGAAATAATTGCAAGGTCTATGAACTGTAAAATATAAACTAGCAATGAAATAAAGAAATAAAGAAAACTTTAATAAGTGAGAGATATACCACGTTCATGGATCAGAAGACTCAATATTGTTAAGATGTCAGTTTTGTAAAAATATCTCTAAATATTCAATGCAAAAAGTCCAGAAAAAGACTCACACGTACAAGGCTAACTGACTTTAAAAAAAACTTAACTGTATTAATTTAAATTTTTAAAGTAGGCTCCACACCCAATGTGGGGCTTGAACTCACAACCACGAGATCAAGAGTTGCATGCTCTACCCACTGAGCCAACCAACTGCCCCAAAGCCAACTGATTTTTGATAAAAGTCAAAATAATTCTATTAAGAAAATGTATCCAACAAATAGCGTGCAATAACTGGATGTACACATGCAAAAATGTCCCCCAGTTTATGTTTCATGCTCTATCCAATAATTAATCAAGATAGATCACAGACCTAAAAGCAAAACCTAGAATCTAAACTTCTCGAAGAAAATGTAGGAGAAAATCTTTGTGATTAAAGATTTCTTAGATGTGACACCCAAAGCACAATCCATAGAAGAAAAAATATTAAGCTGGATTTCATCAAAATTAAGAACTTCTTGAAAGACATCTAGAAAAAATGAACAGATAAGCTGTGGACCTGGAGGAAATATTTGCAAATCACATATCTGATAAAGATCCGTATCCAGAATATATAAATAACTCACGAAACAAAACGAAAAACTCAAACATAAACACAAACGGTCTAACAAAATACAGAAAGAAGATTTGAATAGACATTCCCCCAAAGGAGATGAACAGATGGCAAATAAGCCCATAACAAGTGCTCCACATCATTCTTCACAAAGGAAACAAGTGAAAACCACAGTGGGATATCGCTACACGTCTACTAGAATAGCTAAAATTGGGGAAAAACCTGAAAATAACAAGTGCTGGTGAGGTTGAGGGGTAACTGGACCTCTCGCACATTGCTGGTGAGGATGTGAAACAGTGCAGCCAGGGCAGAAAGTAAGTGTGGTGCTTTCTTAGAAGGTCAAACATACACTCACCACCCAACTCTGCCGCTCCACCCCTAGCTGTTTACTCAGGTGAAATAACACCTTACTTTCACACAAAATCTGTATGCGAATGTCTATAATGGCTCTGTTTGTAATAGTCCCAAACTGAAGAAATGCACATGTCCTTTGGTGAATGCATAAGGAAACTGTGTATTACATCCATGGAAGTACTCAGCAGCAACAAAAAGAAATGAATCACTGAGAAACACAACAACATGGACCGTTCTTAAACTCATCATGCCACGTGAGAGAAACCAACCCCTGAAAGCCACACACTGTATCATCCCACCTTGATGGCTTTCTGAAGAAGGTCAACGAAACAGAAAACAGGTTTCCAGGGATGGGAAGTTGGGGGAGGGCTGACTACAAAGGGCATGGGGGATTCTGGGGAGATAGATCTGTTTCATATCTTTTGCTTGTGGTAGTGGATTCACGACTGTATGACTTTGTCAAAACTTGCAGAGTTATCCACTAAAGAGAGAATTTTACTGTACATAAATTATACCATAATAAAAATGAAAGCAAGATCTCTAAGAACAGAAATGATTTCACCGCCCCCCCCCCCACCTTCTGCTTTCTCTTGCTTATTCCATCCCAGTCACAGTGAGCTCCTGCTGCTCCTCAAACCGCCAGGCATATTTCTACCTCAGGACCTTTGCACTGGCTGATCCTTCAGTCTGGGGAACATCCTTCCTCCAGATAGCTGCTTGGCTCAGTTTCTCACCTCCTTCGAGTCTTGGCTCAATTATTACCTCCTAGATGAACTTATTTAAAATTGCAGCCTGCCCCCCACCCGCCTCTCTACCCCCTCCCCCTCTCAACTTTTTCCCTATCAATTTTAACCTTGTAGCATTAGATAACTTACTTTATTACATCTACTGTTTATTGGCTGTCTGCCCCACTGGAAGGTAGCCACCAGGGCAGGGATCTTTATGTCTTATCTCCAGTTGTATCCCCCAACACCTGTAACAGTGCCTGGCACACCAAGCAGGTGCTCAGCAAATATTTGTGGGATGAATGTTAGAGCGATGTATCAAAGCAACAGTGAGCCCATCCTCATCTCTGGAAAAGGCCTGTGACAGCCCCCCTGCTCTCACCCCAACAGCGCCCTCGCCAGGATCCAGCTGTCCAAGCCCGGTCCACCTGACCGGTCGGCCTTTGCTCTCTTGAGCCCGCTGCCCAGAGCGTGGGTCCTTTCTCCTCCTCTCTCCCTGTCCCTTTCAGGGCAATGCACAGAGGCCCACCCCTCAGCCTTCTTGACTTGGAAAGAGCATCCTGGGGTTGGGGTGCTTCCCCCGACTCCCCGGCTGACCGAGGGCCCTCTCTGGCTCTCCTGAACCCTGATGTCCCTGCTGACTATCCCCTGGCCCTTTTCCTTCCCAAGTGTCTCTCGCGATGTGCTGGCTATCCCTGGGTCCCCAACATGTCCTGTGCAGGCTGTCAGTGAAGGTCGATAGAACAAACGAGTGAGCGGGTGAGTCTGAGGCGCACTGCCTTGGGGGGACTTCCTCAGACAGTGAGACCCTCCTCCTCCCGTCCTCCTCGAGCTGTTCCTGGCAGTCCTGCCTCCGCCAGCTCCCTTCTCAGACGGTGTTCAGGCTCACTCCATCCCATAGCCATGCCGGAACTGAGGACCCTCCCCACTGTCCGCCTCTTTGGGAACCAGTGACCAGGTGGCCACGCAGGGGACACTCCTGGGGTTGATGGGCCAGAGATGTCGCATTTCTGCACTCAGCCAGACTGTCCTCAGGAAGCTGTCACGTCCAGGGCACGTGTCGGGATGACAGCGTTTACCAGGTGTGGGGGCAGAGACGGGCTGGGGCCCTTGGCCTGGAGTGGCTGGCCATCTCCGTCATTCCCGAGCCCTCCACAGTGCTCGGGGGAGCCTCATCGCTTCCTGCCTTCATTCCTTCAGTGAGTACCTATTGCAGCCAGGCACTGCTCCAGGCCCTGGGGCTTCGTCCGAACGACACACAAAGAAAGCCCTTCCCTCGTAGTGCTCGTGTTCTGGGGCAGAGGCAATGGACAGATTCTGTCCTGCACCAGCTGGGGACAGTGAGATGGGGAAATCGAGCAGGGACAGGGTTTGGACAAGCTGCGGGGCCATGCTAGACAGCCTGGTCAGGGAGCCTCGGCTATCAGGGTGCCGCTGGGGTGAGGCTGTCCGACAGGTGCCCAGTGTGGGGGTGCTGGGTGGCTGGACGAGTGAGTGATGTGTAGATGAAGGCATTCTGGGGGGGGGGGCTCGCCCCTGCTGCACACAACGTCCTGCCAGAGAGGGATGGGTGCCCCTCTCGTCACCTCTCCTCTGACCCTCCATCCCTACCTCGTCACACTCCATACTGTCCTCACACACCAACCCCAAGCGGTGCAGAGACACAGAGAGATTCAGTGACCTGTCCCAGGACACACAGCCTCTGTGGGATGAGGCTGGTTCAGACCCAGCCTGAGTCCGAAGCCTGCATCCTGGGGACGGTGGCCGGCGGGGCTCAGTGCACACTTGAACCTTCCTGCCACCTCTCAAAAAACCAGCCACTTCCCTGCCACTCCCAGAAAGTGTGGCCTTCCCGACGGAGGCTGGCTGGTGCCACCTCTGTGGGAATCTCACCACGGGTTGGAGCCCGGCTCCCCTCTGCACCCAGGAGGGAACTCAGGCTGCTCAGTGTCACCCACAAGCACTTGGCCGGTATCTCGCCCTAAAATGGCATCCTAGCCCTGTGACGACCAAAACTGAATATATTTTTAAATACAGAAAAACGGCAGAAGCATAGTCAGGCAAACAGCTGCAGAGGGGAGCGTTTTCTCGCCTTCGAAGTGATCCAAGATGTGGCAGAGGAGGAGACGGGCCTGACAACACACACACACGGAGACGACTGTGTGCAGACCAAAATAACCGAGTTCAAAGCAGGTGCGAAGCTGCTCCTTCTGGAACAGCCCGCCACGATGGGCGTCACAAACGGGAACCCTGCTCCGGATCCGCCCGGGGACAGTCTGGAGAGCTGGGCCTGCCCCGGCCCCATGGAGGGCGCCCTGGGGGTCTGAGGTGGCAGGGGAGGGAGCTCGCCTGCCCCTGCCCT